CCCATGAGAAGAAGGGATTGCAGCATGGCCATTCCCCTGGAAATGATTTCTCATTTTCCCTCACACTGTCTCTCTCTCTGGCAAACACACATACCAGAGATAGATAGATAAATAAATAAAGATGGCCAAAAAAATGGTTTTAATCTATGCATCATTCTTAATTTTCTTACCTTCCCTGACGCTTATACCCAATAGTAGGTCCTATCACCTGCTGCTTCTAAAATATATTTTGAATTCATCCATTTATCTCTTTTACAGATACTACTCTCGTTCAGGCCATCACAGCTCTTGCCTATGACGCTGCAATAAGCTCCTAATCAGTTCATTTGTTTCATTCTTGTCCTGTACAGTCAGTTCTCAATGAAAGCAGCCACAACGGTCTTGTTATCATAGATATCAGAACCGATCCTTTCTTTGCTAAAAATACGCTGATGGGAACCAGCAGTTAGCGTAATGGCTATGTCGCTGGACTCACACGTAGTCGACCGCGGTTCGTGTCCTGGACCTGGTGGCTTAAAACTCATGCCGGGCGCATGTGCGTGCGTGCTCAAGATCCCGAGAGGAGAATGGAGGAGAAGGGATTGTGGCGTGACCATCCCCTCTGGGGGGTGATTTCGCGCTTTCTGTCTCTATGTCGCTCTCTGTCTGGCGAGCGCATGCACCCTATAGCGAAAAACTCCCTCCCTCCCCCCAAAAAAAAAAGAAAAAGGAAAATACGCTGACAGTTTCTCATGCAGAATCAAATTCAAAGTCCTTGCCACTGGACACAAGGCACTAGACGTGGTTCCCCATAAACTGGTCTCCTGCCAACATTTCTGACCCATGTCCCCTCACTCTGAGTTTGATCACTACATTCTGTCATGTTGGTCTTCCCTCTGTTACTCAAACACCTCACAGTCTCTGGACTTGCTTCCCAGATCTTCATCTGACAGGTTCCTTCTCATTCCTTGCATCTCAGCTCAGATAGCACCGTCTCAGAAAAGTATTCACTCATCCCTCAATGTAAAGTTGTCACCCACTGACTATCATTCTCTTTTATTTCTCCTTGGCACTTATCACTATTTGAAACTTGTATTTATGAGTTTGTTGTCGGCCTGACTAAAATGTGAGTTCACCTACCACAGTTCGAGTCCCAGATCCAGCAACTTGATACTCATGCCAGGGGGGAGGGGGAGGGGGTTTAAAATCCCAAGAGGAGAGACCAACAGGTGGCATGGTGGTTAATGGCGCTGGACTCCCACATAACTGACTGTAGTTCGAGTCCTCTGACCATGGGACTTAAACCATGGGACCTGGTGCTTGCTTTCTCTCTCTCTCTCTCTGCCCGTCTCTGGTCAAATTAACATGAATGAATGAATGAATACAAAAATAAAGTTAAATAGAATAATGCTTTTTTAAAAATTCCAAGAGGAGAATGGAGGAGAAAGGATTGCAGCATGACCATCCCCTGGGAGGTGAGTTCTCATTTTCTGTCTCTGTCTCTCTGGTGAGAACACACACCCAATAGCAAAAATCTCACTTAAAAACAGATAAATAAATAAAACAAAATGTAAGTTCCATGACAACAGATACATGGTCTCTCCCCAATTCCCAGAACTCAGAACAGTGTTTGGCATGCAACAGCCTACTCACATGTTTGCTAAATGAAGAAGTATATAACAATAGTGACTCAATTTTCTAGCTATCTTGTATATATAATATATATGTATATGTGTATATGTGTGTGTGTGTGTGTGTGTGTGTGTGTGTGTGTTTTGGGAAGCATATAACAGCAGTGACCTAATTTTCCAGCCATGTCATATATATATATATATATAGTCTTTTGAGAAAACTCTAATTTCTTTTTTTTTTTGGAGATGTTTTTGCTATAGGGCGCGTGCGCTTGCCAGACAGAGACAGACAGACAGACAGAAAGCAAGAAATCACCCCCCAGGGGGGATGGCCACACCGCAATCTCTTCTCCATTCTCCTCTCAGGATCTTGGGCATGCACGCACACACGCCTGGCGTGAGTTTAAGCCACTGGGTCCAGGACTTGAACCGTGGTCGACTACATGGGAGTCCAGCGACATAGCCATTACGCTAACTGCTGATCCCGGAAAACTCTTAATTTCTAACATTAGCCCTCACTAAGGTCTTTCCTATCTATTCTGGAATGTGATTACCTCTCTTTAAAATGGAAGCAGCATGTTTCATTTTGTGCAGGTATACCCTGAAGGGAGTGAGTTTACATTTCTACTGCCAGTAACAGGATGGTCCACTTTGTGGCAATACAGAATTATTTCTGCAAAATTTAAAAACTGTCCTGGATCTCCTGAAGCCAAACTCTTGAGTTGTCACAGTGGAAATTACACATTGAAAGAAAAAGTCCAGACACCTAAGTCCTTAAGCAATTCATTCAAAGTATTTGATTATATGATTTTTCTAGTCTTCAGAATATTTCAAGGCCCATTCTCTTCCTGGTCACTTACCTCTCCGTCGGGGCCAAGACAGTCTGCAGTTAATAACAGGCAGAACCATTACAACAGTAGAAATGTGATTTCCCTCATCCTTCATGCAGCCCACTCCCCTCCAAACTCTAACCTCTATGAATACAGACCTCTCTGCCATTTAAAGAACTTTTTAATTTGTGGACACTTGGCAAATGCCACAGAGGCACCATATACCCATTGACAACTTCAGTCCTGCTCTGCCGAGTCCTGACAGACTGCAGCTACTCTCTGTCATAGGCATGCCCCTCGAGATGTCTGATGAGTTGGTGAGACTCCTATTCTTCCACTCTCGGGTCACAGTCCGCTGTTCTGAGACCAAGGCAAATTATATCGTGCAGAGATTTTGGCAAATTTTAACAGTCATACGCCTCTTAGCAACGAAGTTCTGAGTTCTCAGAGAGGCATCCTTAGGCAATGCCCTGGTGGGGTGACTGTAGCGTGTCCTTACACGAGCCTGGATGGTACAGCCTGCTACGCACCTAGGCTGTACCACGGAACCTGTTAAAATCTTAGCGGGCCACGTTCATACAAGCGGTCGTCCTTGAGTCCAAAAGTCCTTAGGCGATGCCACGCCCCCGTCACGCCCCCAGGGAGCTCCGCCTCAAACGCCTAGGCCCCGAGAGCCTGCGCTTCCTCCGTCTCCTCCCGGCATGGCCCGAGAGCAGCGGCAGCACCAGGACAGAGGCCCC